CCCCGGCGGGCGCCTGGCCATGCCCACCTGGAGCCACCCCTGCCCAGGCCGGCTCCTGCCTGCGGGATGGGGGAGCGAGAGGGAATGGATCTGCCTGCCCTAAGGACAACAGCTGCTTCCTTCCAAGCCAGCAGGTGCGCCCAGCTGGAGCCAGCCCTGCCCAGGCCGGCTCCTGCCTGCGGGATGGGGGAGCGAGAGGGAATGGATCTGCCTGCCCTAAGGACAACAGCTGCTTCCTTCCAAGCCAGCAGGTGCTGATGGCATTGCTGGTCTCTCTCTGCTGCCCTGTATGACCCCCCCGGTACACCCCAGTGTCTGCAGGCCTGGCCCGGGCACCGTCGCCCTGGAGGGCAGGGGAGCCAAGAGTGGCTCCTGCCTGCGGGATGGGGGAGCGAGAGGGAATGGATCTGCCTGCCCTAAGGACAACAGCTGCTTCCTTCCAAGCCAGCAGGTGCTGATGGCATTGCTGGTCTCTCTCTGCTGCCCTGTATGACCCCCCCGGTACACCCCAGTGTCTGCAGGCCTGGCCCGGGCACCGTCGCCCTGGAGGGCAGGGGAGCCAAGAGTCAGGCCCCAGAGGGCGTGGGGTCGCGTCAGGGCCAAGCAGCCCTGCCAGGCGCTGGCCAACCTGCTCTTAAAGTGCTCCACGGGGTGGGGGTGGGGGGTCACGTTCGTGCAGCACGTGTGAGTGAGAGAAAGAGCCAGGATTCTCGTCGTACCAAGGGAGAGCAGCACCTTCCCCTGCCTCCCCGCCGGGGGGAGAGGGTCCCCGGCCTCCACCGGCCCCCTCAGCCCGACTAGCCAAGGGCTGCAGAATTTGCCACAAACCTGGGAGCAATTTTTTTTACAGGGGGGAAACTGAGGCACGGAGGCCCAGCTGTTTAAAAAGTGGCCTACTTTCCCGAGGGTGGGGGCTGGGTGCTCTGAAAACCGGGCCCCGCTCTGACGTCTCCCCCTGAGCAGCCAGGCCACTGGCCAGGGGGGGGCTGGGTGCTCTGAAAACCGGGCCCCGCTCTGACGTCTCCCCCTGAGCAGCCAGGCCACTGGCCAGTGTCCCACGGGGAGCCGGGGCAGAGCTGGGAGCGAGGACA